CCAGCATGGCTGGCTGGGGTATTCTGGGAGTTGAAGTCCACCCATCTGAAAGTTGCTGAGGTTGAGGAACTCTGCTATATCAGATCTCTAGGGATTTCTAGATTCCACAGGCCGGGTGCAGAGTAAGAAGAGCATCGGGGGGTTCAAATTGTACTTCATGGAACTGCAGAGTTCAGAGAGAATTTGGTGGGGTCCGTGGGAAATTTCTCTGCAATGCAGCCGATTTTCTATCACTAGAGCTTTGCTTCTTCATGAGAGACTCTGGAATTTTTTTTTTTTAAGTAACAGGTCCTGTGGCCTGAAAACGTTTGAAAATCTCTGGTCTGGATTGCTCTTCCCTTTTCCTTGTGGGTGTGTACTGGGGAGGGAAAATGAGTTATCTTAATTTATTGCATGCCAGCTCCTTTGTCAGAAGGATCGCTGCAACATGGCATTGAGCAACTGGATTCTAGCTGATCACAGCTAATAGGGTTAGGCAGGGCAGTTGCTGTACTTGGAGGGGAGGCCACCAGAAAAACCTTAACCCTGCTACCCCAGTGTTTCTTAACCTAGGCAGCTTGAAGATGTGTAAATTTCAACTCCCAGAATTCCCCAGCCAACATGCTGGCTAGGGAGTTCTGGGAGTTGAAGTCCACACGGCTTCTGTTTGCTAAGGTTGAGAAACACTGCTAGACCATAAGTAGATAAAACTTCCCAGAAGAAAATTATGGCAAACCAACCGATGTACTGCTCCCAAGGAGAGTTTAATTTCCACAACTCTCAACTGCCTTTTTGTTGGGTTTCAAAGGACCTTCGCTGCCTCTAGTCCATTCACTCTGTTCTCAATGTAGAGGCCCACTTGAAACTATCATTAAGCCATGTTTTTTTTCATTGCTTGTTGCCCAGACCCAGCCATTGTGATTTGCAAACCATAATTTATGCTTTAGCATATTATGCAATCCAGCCAATTGTGACTTATAGAATACACAGTATGTGAACCCCATCACAGAAAGAACTAGATGTCTGTTTAACAGTGGTTTATTGAATCAATCAAAGTAGCTGACTTCACTCAATGCTCTAAGCCAAAAAGTTGCAGACCACGTTTTGGCAAAGTGGGTTGACTTAACTGAGGCTTAGAGTAAACACTGTTAAGATTTACAGGAAGAAGGAGTTGGGTACAATTGCCTGGATGACCTCTTCTGCCTTAACTCATAACTGTGTTTCAGCCGTTAGTGCTGGGATCGTTCACAATCTCTCGTCCCTAGAACTTCAGAGTTTTTTATTTCCTATCCTGAGTGTTCTGCCCTGAAATTTGAGGTGTAAAATGAAAAAGTCTCACTCTCTGACAAGAGGTCATTTGCCTCTTACTGCTGTGAGCAGAAGCATTTCTCCATTTGATGCTTTCCAAGTGTTTTGGTCTGTAATCGCTGTATTGGGCCAGCTAGCATTTACCATGATAAGAAGAGCTGTAGCCCCAAACACCTGAGATACAGCTTCAGTATAATGCAAATAGCATTTTCTGCCTTATGAATTGTTGCATCAAGCATTAAAAGGATAGTTGGAGGGCAACACCCAATACTCAACCCTCTTGTCCAATGTCCAGGGCAATGACCTGCTCCAAATGCATTCAACTTCTTTGTCTCATCACAGTCCAGATCCCTGGGAACTCCCATTATAAGGATGCTAATTCAGTCTCTCTACACCAATGTTTCACAACCTCAGCAACTTTAAGATGTGTGGACTTCAAATCCCAGAGTTGAAGTCCACACATCTTAAAGTTGCTGAGGTTGAGAAACACTGCTGTACACTCCTGGTTGGCATGCAAATAAATTCATCATATCATTATGCAAAATTTATGTATATAATTTAGCCATTTTAAATCTGATTTAATAGAATCATAACATGGGCACATACCAATAAGAGCATGGGAACTGTAGATCTACAAGAATAATTTGTAGGGCTGTACAGAGATCTGCATTCAAAGAGCAAAGAGTTATTCAGAGTGTGGCAGAGTCCACCACCGGTCACAACCCTTTAAAGCAACTGAGTCTTTTCCAAGGCTTGTATGGCTGCCCTCCGCAGCTAATGTGCAATCCCAGGAATAGATGTGTTTGGCTCAAGGAGTACCTGACAGACACTGCATGCATGTGCTCTGAATCATATTTTGCCCTTTGAATCCAGATCTTTGCACAGCCTTACAAATTATTCTTGAAAAACTACAGTTCCCTGTACTCTCCTGGTTGTGTGCAAATGTTGTGAAGCAAATAAGTTTTTAAAAAGCATGGCTATGCACATTCTGAATCATATTTTGTTCTTCCAATCTGGATTTCTGTACAGCTAGTGGTTTGTTAGCTACTGAAGTCCTGTCACAGAACTATAATTCCCACGGTTTCCCTTTAATGGAATGGAGACGTGCAGATTAATGGCTTTGAATCCAATGTAAGTATGAGGTGAGGTAAAAATAGTTAGTGCAAGGGCTGTTGGGAAACAGCATTAGAACATTTCGTGGAAGTCTGGTTGGCAAGGCCCTGAAGCTTTGCTTCACGTTGCTTCAAACTCTTTGACATCTGATCCAGTTTGTTCAGGACACTTGAACAGCCAAGGGACAGGGGAGGTGAAAATAAATCTTCTGAATCATCCTCGGAGTTTGCTGAGACACCTGCAGAGCATTCAAGGAGAATTAATGCTGAGTGTTAAGACTAGAAATCTATTTATTTAAAGGTAATAGGAGCCACTTCTACTGCATTCTGTCTTAAAAGGCCAATGCTTCATGAGCCAATCAGTGCTCACTAAGGATTGGCAAAATCTACCGTTCCTCCTGTGGATCACACTGAGCTGGCTAATCTGGAAAGGCGCTGGTGGGTCTCCAAAAATAACTTACTGGGTGGTCACAAAACAGCTTGATTGGTGTGGTCCAGAGGTAGAATAGAGCCTTCCAGAATCCACTGGAGTACAAGTAGTCTTTAAGTTATGATCATGCATTTAGCAACCGTTTGAAGTTACAACGGTGCTGAAAAAAATGGACTTACAACTGGTCCCCAAAGTTATGGCTGTTGCAGCACCCCTGTGATCACATGATTGCAATCTGGGCACTTGGCAACCTGTATGCACTTACGACTGGTTGCAAAACACCCCGCGATCATGTGCAACTTTCCCCGCCAGCTTCCCACAAGCAAAGTCAATGGGGAAGCTGGCAGGGGAGGTCGCAAGTTGCTCGGGTAAGTCTCCCCCAACCACCCCTGCCTTTCTTCACTCATACACATTGCACCCTCTTTCCACCCTTCGCTCGCATGCAGCACTGTGCTCTCCTTCCCCCTTCACTTGACGCATGGACGGTGCCCTCCATTGCTCACTCACACACACCAGCACCCTCTTTCCCCCTTTGCTCGTTCACACTTGTTGCACCCCCTTCATGCTACACTGCAGCTCTGGGGCTTTGCAGGAGGACAGCTTTGCAGGAGGAAGGAGAAAGCCTCACGAGCAGCCAGCAGCTTCCAGTGTGAGCTGCAGAACGCGCGTTGAAAGTGCCCCTGGAGAGTCCTTCATCGCCCAGAAGTGCCCCTGGAGAATCCTCGAGTGAGCGAAGGAGGGTGTGGTGCATGCATGCAAGTGAGCGAAGGGCGCTGATGTGTGCAAGCAAAGGAGGAAGGAAGGCCAAGAAACCCCTGAGCCACAGTGTGGCAAGCAGCCCCAGAGCCGCACAGTTCTGGGGCTGTTTGCTGCCCTGCAAAGCAGGGTGCAGGGCGGCCAAAAGGGCAGAGGGGGAGGGGGAGACAAGTGGGGGGAGTTGGAGGTAGTCCCTTACCTTACTGAGGCTCAAGGCTGGGAGGGACCAAGCCTGGAATGGATTGGATTGGGGTGGGTGGGTACTCGCTTAACAACCTGCAATTCTTGGTTAACAGTGGCATTGAGGAGTGCCAGGATTGCCATTGCTAAGTGATGCTAATGGTCACGTGATGTCTAGCTTTACAACCCATTGCTTTGTGACAGAAATTCCAGTCCCAATTGTGGTCGTAAGTCGAGGACTACCTGTATTCTGTTCCCTGAATGGTTGGTTTTGCATATCTCTAATGCTCACCTTTTTCCCTCCAGATGAGCAATACAAGAGTTCTGCCCCCTGAGCTATCATTGGTCCCAGAGTAACAAAAACCTTCACTTTCCTCAAAGGAACTAATGAATTGGTAATGCCCCTCCCTCCGTTTGTATTCTTGTTTTTGGGTCTCACTGTACTTTCATGATTTCTCACCTCAAAATGGCAGTAACTGGCGTCATCACTCTTTAGACTTTGAGACCCAGCCCTAGCCAGGATAGCATATCTGGAAGCAAAGTCTGGATATCCAGTAATGATTAAAAATAAAGCTTTTCTGTTTTCCTACATAGAAATATAATACCTTTTGGTTCTACTAGGAAATAATACCGAGAACAACTTTAGATAGTCCGATCATTACAGGATTGGGAGAAAGGGGGCTTTTTAAGTATAAAACCCAGCATTCTTCCCTCTCTCCCTCCCTCCCCTGGTTTTCAGCTCTCTTACCAACTACGTGCAAATTCACTTCCATGATGTATAGTTCTGGCAAGTAGGTGACGTAGCATCTGTAAATGCCAGAGTTTTCCATGTCGACCTGTGAGATGAAGAGGGAAGCATTTCCATTTCCCAGTTCTTCCTGGCTCAGCCTGACCCTCTGTCTGAACATGGTTGCCACCTCACCTTCAAACTCCACTAGCTGGTTGCCCTGGTGGAACCAGAGAACAGTGAGCTGCCGAAGGTCCAACGCGGTCCCATCCACAGGAAACATACATTTCAGCTGGACGTCATCCCGAGCTGCGGCTTCCAACCAGGAGAGGCCTCCCTAGAGTGGCAGTTTCTCAGCTGACCAAGAAACGTAAAGCAGATGATTGAGGTAGCTCTTAAGCCCTCCAAGGAGTCCTAGAAGTGAGGAGCAAAGTCAAGACCTCTCTTGTGTTGTCTTCTTGCAGTAACTGGCATTGAGAGGAGAACGCTGCCTGCTTCTGTATCTCACAGCATTCACTCCAACACCCTTCCTTGGCCAAATAAGCCAGGGAGTTAAGGGGAAGGGGAAAAAAGATGCCAAGGTCACTACCTCATGAAGGGGAGAGAAAGAACAGCAAGAGTGCTGGGATGGAAGAAAGAGAGATGATACAGAATTTGAGGGAACTACCGGGGAGAGAAACTGCTGAGTATGGAGCTTCCAAGAATATGTATGTACTGACCTGGGGAGCACCACTGAATGAATAGGTGATAGTGACGTATGAAATAGGAGATTGACTTACTGAGAGGGTCATGCTCCATGCCTCCCCCTCTCCAGCAACTAGCCAGGAGGTTGCTGTAACGGCTAGGGCCTGCCCTTTTTCCTGTTTCTCTTGACTGTTGATAAAAGCAAAAACTAGCTTTGTATATTGTGCTAAGCCATGGTTTAACCATAGTTTGTTGAAACCACGTGCCATTTAGGCTTTGAGAACATAATCTATGAAACACTGGCTAGGTTTGGCCTGGCAGCAAGCATCACTCATAATTTTGCATGTGATAGGTACCTCCTGACAAATCAGTTTAAAACATTAAGAATAGTATCGGAAATGGCCCAAATTTTATTATTTTTCTTTGGAACAGAAATTTTGCAAGACTTTTTTTAAAAATCTCACACCATTTAAGGTTTTTAAAATAATTAAGATATTGATTATGTCAATGGTGCCGCCTAAGGAACTACAGGATTTTGTTTATTTAAGAAATTTGTATCACTGCCAAATCTGTATAAGTCAAAGCCTTGTGCCAATTTAAATAATTAGCCTAATTAACTCATCTTTTCATCATCCAGTCAAACACTTTCCAGAAAGGCTGTTCTATCTCAAAATGTGGAGATCATTTCCATTCTCAGTATGGTGTCAACTTCCCTTTCCCTTTCCCTTTCCCTTTCCCTTTCCCTTTCCCTTTCCCTTTCCCTCTCCCTCTCCCTCTCCCTCTCCCTTCCTTTTTTTTTTTGCAAAGTGTATTTCCCTTGCAGGTTTTCCGTTGTGCTCTAGCAAAAGAAATTCAGAATTCACCTTTCCTGTTTTGTGGTAGGATTGCTGATGCCCAGGCAAAGTAGAGGTTGAACTGATCAGAAGGAAACAGTACAGGCAGTCCCCAGGTTAAGAACAGGATTCACCCCTAAGTCTGTCTTTAAGTCAAATTTGTATGTAAGTCAGAACACACACTTACGAATGGACTGCCTATGACTAAAAATGGCAGATGGTGTTCTCCTTCCTTGAGCCGGTGAACCGCTGAAGCCACACAGTGTTTTCATGAACCGCTGAAATCTGCTGAAAACAGGCTTTATTTTAAAAACACACACACTACTTTGTGACGCTCATGAAAACACTGTGCGGCTTCAGCGGTTCATGAGACATTTGCTCATTCACATACCAATATGGCCTCTGACCATGCTGCAACTACACTCCACCCATAAAAGCTCTCTGCCATTCCCTGAATTAATTTCAAAAGCAAATTGTTTCATCCAAATGAAGGAAAACTGGTTGGAACAAGAATTTTTCAGCCCTGCACTATATTATTTCCAAGAGTGCTATGATGATCTAGATATCTGCCGATACCCCTTGCTCTCTTAATTCCATCTGAAGCAACTTACTTGCTTTCCCAGGGAAGCAGAAAGAAACAAGGCAGGCCAGCGTTAAGAAACCCATCTCTGCAGATAGCAACTGCTCTGGAGTTTGTGGCTGTAGCAGACACCAACCCCAGTACCAACTATGGCCAAAGAGTTTATGCACTCCTGTGGGTTATCACTAAAATTGAAGACAAGCACCCACACACGTTAGCCTCCAGAGATAGTAGGGTGCTTATATTTGTGTGGCACTGCTCCTCTGTGTAGCCCTGCTCTATCAGGTTTTAAACTCTGGTAACTCCACCCATTATTGCTTTGATTATCCTGTAGGGCATATCTGGCCTGTCTGGAATGTTGGTTGGGGATGGGAGCGAACTGAACACAAAAAATAGCTGTGGGCATCACCCAGGCTTTCTCCAGGAATTTGGCATGTGTTTACAAAACATGTGGAAGAAGAGATTAAGAGATGTGGTGGCGAGAGTCACTCTTTTAGGCTATCCATTTTTCTTGGGCTCTCATAGTTTTTTCAGAGGTCTCCACATTCTGTGCGGGCACAGAAAAAGGCATGCGGAAAAAAAATGAGTGCCTTAGACTCCTACCCTTCAAATCGTGTAGCCCAGCCTATCTCATAATGATATGACGTCGTGCTCCCTCTCTTTCCCCCTCTTAAGCTTTTGAGTAACTTTCATCGTAATGTGTTGTATTTTTGTATTGGCTCCTTTTAACGGAACATGGACTTTTACATTTACATTATGCAAATAAGCTACCTTTTATTAAGGGCTGAAAAACAATCTGTCTATTCAGGCTTTCGCAACCAAGTACCCTCCTGATGAGTTGACCAAGAATCCCCAGAACTCCAGATACCATGATTATACTAGCCGTGCATTCTGGAAGTTGCAGGCCGATAGCTGGGGAAGGCTGACTAATTGCAGATATCTCAGTCATCTCAGCCATTCACTTTCGCTATCATCTGGAAAAATTAGAAGTTGGTTCTTCGCCGGTCATGTTTCCATGTTTACTTCTACTGCTCCTCCTTGACTATCCTCTTCCCTTGTGGGACTCTTGTTTTGTTCATGCGTACTTTTGCTGCTCTTGACTAGTGGGACTATGGGGAAAATGCCCACTCAGGAACAATGACCGCAAAGGTCCTCGAACATAGCATGGACAGCTTGTATTGTGTTAAAGCAAGCAAAGGAATATACATCATCATTTAAATGAATTTAAATGATTTCAATCATTTAATTTAAATCCATGGTTTATAAGAAAATGAGAAATATGTAATAGGAACCTCTGTCTCTGGTGGTGATGGTGTCTGGTAGGAGCCCATACAGTACATTCAAATTAACCCATTAACTTAAAATATTTTCAAGCATGTACCGCTTAACTATTTCTTTTATGCTCAGAGGCATCTCCTTCAGCAGCTGATAAAGAGTTAACCCCTAGGATCTAATGGATAAAATATAAAAATATTCCTCAGACTCAAGAGATTGGGAAAACTCACTAACTCACTCAATCACTCAGTCACAGGTCAGCGATATGTGGAAGAGGGCTGGCTAGCAGTCTGAAAAGAGAGCCAGGGTATAGGTTCACATGACAAATCTGGGTTAATAAAGCACAATGGTTGCATTCACATAATATGCTATGCCTAAAGATACAAACTATATTATAGTTTATGATGACCTAATTTCTAATGGTGGGTTCCTTCAAGGCACTTTTTTTTAGTCTCATCTTGCACCTCATGCGAACCTAGACCAAATTAGCTGAGCTTTTGAAACCTCCTGCTGAAGTGAGATCATAGCTCAGGAATAAAGAGGTACACAACTTTCTTATAGATACAGATCCAATTATGTATACTTTTCCTTTCAATACTTCCATTGCTCAGAAAAAGACACAGGTTCAATCCTTGAAGGCTGCAAAGATGTGAAAATCTATATTTAACTGTACAGGAAGTCCTGCCCACAATACAATTACTGGGCTAAATGGTCCACAGGAGGTATCTACAATTTTATAAAGGTGGAGCTATTTGTATATTTACAAATAAAGCAAACATTATATAATACACTGAATGTCTCATCATTAAAACAACACTACCCTCTGTCTGAGCAAAAAAAATGGCACACAGTACTTCATTTTTAATGGAAACTGCTGTTTAGGGCTCATTCTGCTGAATTGCTTAATCACCAAGACTCATTTGCTCAGTTGATCACACAGATCCTTGTTATCATCTAGTGGACCAATCTAGACCTCTCTCCCATCCCTAGATCAATTATCCCACAAGTAAAACGATGATGGAATTCTTGGTTCTTTATTAGCCAATCAAACGTAAAACAAAAGCAAAACCAAATTGCTTTGGGGAAGGTCCATCCATGGACTGCTACTGATGATTGGGAGAAATTCTCAGGATGTGTCATCCAAAGTGCAAAGGGGGAAAAATAGGTTATGACAAAATGGGGGGTTGCTCAGGAGGTGTCCTTGGGCCAACACAGTCGGTGGTGATCCATCCTGCACAAAGATGATTAGATCCACCAAGGTAGGAATGATACTTTGAAATCTTCCTTTCAACCTAGGAAGGAATAAAAGGAAATGGTACTTTAGACTGCATACAGCAAGATTTGTAGCCTTTTCAGGCAACAGACATCATCAAATGCTTTAAAAATGACCAAATTTTACCTTTCAGACATTTTTAGTTTATTTTTTAAAATACAGAGGTCAACATGCATAACCTAGTAGTCTCGCAAACACCTCCACTGAGCAGCCTATTCATATTCAGTAGTACTCCCCTCATTACTACAAGTATACTAAAAATGTTTAAAAAATAATAAAGTCTTGTAAGTCAGCTCAACTTCCGGTAACTGTTAGACACATCCATATTATTTTCTTAGTAACTTCTAAGATGTTCTGACTACCCAGTCCAGCCCACAACTCTGGGATGGTGTTTACCAAGTGCAATCAAGGTTAGCTTTTGCAACATCAGCCAAGTTGGCTTGGTGTTGCCACAGCAAAGGTAATGCTGGGATTAGTGCACACTGTTATCCGGTATCACAGTTCAAGCCTTTTTTCACCACAATGCCCTTCCCAGGGTCTAGATACCTCAAAGTCCAGAACAGACATTCTCATAGTCTGGAGCATCATCTTCACTTTCCCGATCACTTGTGCCCACTGTGGGACATGAGAAACGATAAAGTGGGTTAAAGTGTATATGTGTCTATGCATATCTTTTGAATGGTTCTCGGGGGATAACTGGTTAATGAGGGACTAAACCAGAAGTCAGTAACTCCTGGCCCAGGGCCACAAGTGGCATGCCAGGTCATTTAGTGCTGCTTCTCACGGGTGACTATCACCTCCTGGTTTAATGTTGCAATCAACAAAAGACCATTTCTGCAAAGCCTGATGACCATGCAGTTGTCTCTGGTGCAGAAGCCCCTGAGAAAACTCTACCATTATGGATACCATAGAAATACAGCTGTCCCAAAAGTCATCTTTTGCAATGTAACTCAAAAGGGGACTGACAAATAAGGAAGGACTTTAATTTTCCTTCTCTAGTGTCCATAGCACTCTGAAACAGCTTGGGGAGAGGGCCCAAGAGATGCTGTGCATGTGCCTGGGTAGGAATAAGACACCCTCTCCAACCCACCATCCAGCATGGCATCCAGTTCTTGGAGCTAGAAAGGCTGCTTGTTTACTGATAGACCAAAGGAAATGAATGCTCTGCTGAGAATAAGGACTTCTTCCCTTGCCCATCCTTTAAGCTTCCCTCACTCACCAAAACAAGGATCTAGTATTATCGGTTCTGGCTCTAGTACGTTCACGTATTCACCTTTGCAGGAGAAAGGAAAAATGAGAAAGGGTGACATCAAGTCCCATATCAATCTCAGTATAGGAGAACAGCCTTCCCAAGCGTCGGTGCCCCCATTCCTAACCAGCATGGTTTGCTGAAAAAACTAGAATAAGTCTTGCAGGCAAAGTAACTATGGCCCATTTGATAAGTTGTTTGCTTTGTTTCCCCTTTTATTAGCTGCTCCTGCCTTACACCTATGTGATTAATTAGAAAGACTTCAGTAGGGCACTAACATAAAACAGGAATCAATTAGGAAAAACACAAAAGTAATACCTTTCCAACTGTGACTGGGCTCACCCATTCAGACTAAGTCAGGGTTTCTTTCAAACATGGGCTATTGAATAAACCGCTATTGGCTAGGTTCAAACAACCTAGTCATATAAGTGTAAATCCAGAGTTTGGTGCCTAGGAATGATGGGAATTACAATTCAGAAGACCTGGGAGGCAGATGGTAGGGCAAAAATTAGGAATAGCCTTTCCTATGTAATTCACCCTATTTTAAATTGGTATTTCTTTGAGATTTACCATATTTATGATATTTTAAAATGTGTATTTTTCTCTGTAAACGAGCCCTTGCAAGTGTAATGTGAGTCTTATTTTATTTTGTTCTTGTTTGGCAATGTTTAGAATGAGAGAGCTTTTTCTGTGGAAAATACATGGAATTCCTCCCTAAAGAAGCCTGACTAGTGCCCACATTAGCGTCACTTCGGCACCAGGCAAAGACGTTTCTATTTTTCCAGGTTTTTTTATTGGTTTTTAATTTATACTGTTTTTAACTCTCTAGAGTCACCGACGTAGTGAGATGGGTGGCGTATAAATTTGATTTATAAATGAAATAAATTCTGAATGAGTGCCTTTTTGCTGCCTACCTTGTATAGCGTTTTCATTTTGCATTTCACTTGATGTTATTATATATGTTCTTTTTTCAAATTGAATCTTTTAACGTGTTTTAACCAGTCAATCTTAAAGGAAATCAACCCTGATTGCTCATTGGAAGGATCGATAATGAAGCTCAAGCTCAGATACTTTGGTCACCTAATGCGAAGAGAGATCTCTTT